TCCTCAAAGACACCCAAGAAGCCCTGCTCTTCGGCTTTGAAGGTATCGACGGCGTTGGCATTGGTCTTCACCGTGAAGCGAGCAGATGCGATCCTGTCGTTTAAAACAATCATAGTCCCTCTACCCTTCGCGTTCTTGTTGACGGCTAGTTTCACAGCAGAAAGGAGGTTGATGGGGCCATCTGCGCTCAGGGCTGTAGCGGGACGCATGGAACCGACCACGACGACAGGTTTTTCACTCGCGATGGTGAGGTCAAGGAAAAAGGCTGATTCCTCCAGCGTATCTGTACCATGAGTGACAACCGCACCTTGAATCAAGGGGTTATCAAGATCCTTTTGAATGTTCTGGGTCAAGTTGGTCAGAATGGTCGAGTTGATGTCACCGCTATCGACATTGACAATCTGAATGCCCCTGACGTTAGAGACGTTGCATAGCTGTGGTACAGCCTCGATCAAGGTTTTGATTCCCAAGGCACCGGACTGGTATCCGGTAGTTTGGTCTGCTGAGCCAGCTGAACCGGCAATAGTACCCCCAGTAGCATAGATTGTGATGTTTGGGAGGCTCGCATTAAAGCACTCAAAATCTTCCACGGCTCGAGGAACAATGTGGGGTAGTTGGATAAGAGGAGAGGCCAGGGTAGACGGAAGGAAGACGGCGAGAGTGACGAGATTTCGAAATAAAGAAGACATGATGATTCTTTACATCAACAAGATGAGAAAAGTTATAGGTCTGCTTGTGATGAAAGTTCAGTGAGGGGTAAGAACAATTGAAATGAGAATAACCATGATGAAGAGGGACCCCGGATATTTATGTCAAGCCAGGGCAGCCTTGTTCCTTGGGAAGTCATGACCCAGGCCGTTATCATTGGATAACGTAATGACAAGGTCTGGGGGGTTGAGACCTTTTCGACTAAGAGGGGACCTTAACCCAGCTTGTATGAATGAGCATGCTTCCCCGGAAGGCGGGGTTCTGGGACTAGGACCCGTTTCGAGTTGTGAAGAGCACCGGTCAATACTCCTAAACCTGTTGAACTTGTATTAAATTAGGCCTGGTTTAATTAGTTAAAACCCTAATAATGAGAGAAGAGGCAGGCTGAATCGCTCCGAGACATCACGAGCCCTACAAATCCAGACTACAAGGATTAGATGATTATAGCATCTAGGCCCAACGCAGTCTCGCCAGTGTTTATCATGGCCAAAAAATTCGATAACATGGAGGGTAAAGATGAAATAAAGAACTCCTGATTACTGATATAAAGCAACTAAGATTATGTCTGAAATATCTCGAAAGGAAAAGATGATAGCCTTGCGATGGCGGAACTGGTGGCGTATACGTTGATGGACGGCGAGTCAACAATCATGTTATTGGTCCGTGTATACTAAGCTACCTAATTATTAGTTCAAATCAACCCCGGCAGATTATGCATCTCGAGCCGAATTCGTTCATTGCTCAATCTCTCAGAGCTAGCAAGCGGCATTTCTCTCTAACAAATATTGAGTGTGTGTGGGTACTTGAGGAATATCTCGGGCCAAGACGCAAGTGAGCCGACTGTCTCCATCCCTGGTCTCTGATAATCAGCCATCGGTCACCTATCTTGTGCCCTCCTGACTCATTGATACAGTTGTTAAATATTCAGTGTCTCATATCTTAGCTTTGAATCTGATTAACATCTGAGCTGAGTCTGGAACGCTGGATCTTCTACGCTATATCCAGGCTCATATTCTACTAGGTCAAGGCGTAGTGGATCTGGGTCACAACGTGCATTGTATCCATATTAGCATGTCACTCTCATACTGTCAGGCTTTGTGAGCGATATATCTCAACGGCGGAAAACTAAACGAAGATCATAAGGAACTGTCACTGACCTACGTATTTTACGGAGTTTGCCTTATCTTATCTGAGGTGGGTTCATGATTGACCAATTATCTGAAGTATGACATAGAGCACAGTATTTCGTCATACTGAAGCGGGGTTGAAGTTCTGCAAATTTGAACGACATTCTCTGGTACTTGACCATCTACTAACTACGCTGTATCCTCTGCCCCATTTGTACCCATCAATACCCTTCTTGTTCTCTTGACATCTCCTCAAAGCTCTAGTTGTTGCCGGCGTGCCGTTCCAGTTCTGATGAGCCACAATAGCATTGGGTCGTTTACGAGACGCAAGCGCTCTGTAGTTTCATGTAGGGAGTGTCAGCGGCGTAAACAGAAGGTATGAGAACTTCCATTTGATAAGGTATATCAGTCTAATGTCGTCCCATAGTGTGATCGTCGCCAGCCATGTGCCCATTGTATGAAGCGAGGTAAAACAGTAAGTATATTCGTTCCCCTGGGGGCCCTGTCATTCGCTAAATAAACAGGACGCCTGCCTTTACGATTTGGACGCCAATCGCGTACCCTCCACTTTCATCCCTGTCGAGCTCCAAGACCAAACCCCGAATGGCGTCTTGCCAACTCCCCCGGGACCAACGCCGGCGGCTTCGAGCGTTGTGCCCGATGACTTCAAATCACTAGGTTATGGCGACAACACAAAGGGAACACCGGGAGTCCTCCGCAGTCTGGGGGAGTCCGCAAGCGTGCTGCATCACTTCCCGTCCAGCAACCGTCCTGCCCCTAGTCAATACACAAGCATAATCCGAGAGCTACCATCTCGGAGACACATAGATATGCTTGTGAAAGACTTCTTCAAAAACGTAGCCTGGCATTACGATATCGTGGATGAAGCTGTGTTCCTAAATCAACTTTCTCAATGGAGCTGCCTGACGCATGATCAACTGAAACAAGGACCAGACGCCTTACCTACCAACCTCCGATCTTTTCCTACTCTGCTCTTCCAGATTCTAGCACAAGCTCTGCTTTTCCAACCCACACAACATGAAGAAAGCCTTAATGACCTAAAGTATGCAGCCGACATGGAGTTATCTGATGTGGCGGCAGACTTAACTGATGCGGGCCATCGACTTGCTTCGTCTTTCAGAAAGAGCGAGCTCACTCTCACAATAGTGCAAGCTGGGCTGATGCGAGCGTGCTTCCAAAAGACTACGGGGGCAGTAATTGAGGCATGGCACACGCTTGGAAACGCTATCCGCGACGCTCAAGAACTTGGTCTACACTTGATCAAGCCAGACTCAACAGCATACTCGAGAACTGAAAATCTGTCGGATCGCGAGTTGGGCCGAGACGTGTGGCATATGCTTCATCTCTGGGATGTTCATATGGCTGCTGTTCTTGGAAGGCCGATATCGACAAGAATGAGTCCCAAAGACGTGCCTTTGCCAATGTCAGCGAGGGACAGCTCGGGCAGGCAGAGGCCACCGCAACCTCGCGACGTCATCTGGTGTGGCTATCACACTGCTTATAGATTCTTACAAGACATCCATGATCTCGAGAAAGTAGAAGACTGGCGTCTTCCTGTTGAGACGATCCACGAAACTATTCTGACAAATATTGCGAACCTTCCAGCATGGGCTGCAGCTCAGAGGGTACGTCAAGGAGAGCCTCCTTGGCTTTCTGCGGCCTTGGAAGAAATGTACACCAACGTGCACTTTGTCCTCTTTGCTTTGCATCGGCCCTTCGTGTTTGCAGAGATGAGCAGTCGTCACAAGGCTTTTCACGCGGCAATCCAGATTCTGGAGTCGCAAGCCCGCCTGTTCAATCTGACCGAACCTCTACAATACAAGGCTTTTAGTTTGGTGTACGCAACGTTTGACGCGATGGTCTTGGTTGCCGCTATGCACGTTCGCTTTCCGGATGAATTTCTGGAGCAGTTTCCGGACACGAGGAGAACTCTCGAATGGGGCTTGGAGAGGCTGAAGTTTTTGCAGGCCAGGAAAAATGATCTCGCCGCCTCAGCTCTCAATATTATCCAACAATTATATCGAAAAATGCTTACTGTTGTTTCTACGACCCAGCCACAGGGCCTCTATCATGGAATTTCTGAGAATGGAGACCTTGAAGGAATGGAAGCAGAGACGGCGCCAGGCAACTGGGACACCATCCTACAGCCTGATCTTGGAGATTTATTCGTTCCTCAACCATTAAACGAGCTGTTGTGTAACGGATATTTCGGTCAACCTTTGAACATAAGCCCTACTGACCAAATAGGATATGGGCCATCTCAGTTTGGATCCGACATTACTGGCGGCCTTGGTAATGGCCTGATGACTGATCACAGCACAGGCGAAGCATCAAATATGCCAAGTAGCTGAACATTATGCTAGGAAGCCTGACCGCTTGCAGCCAGCCCGGGTGTAAAATAGAAAACACAATAAACCTATGAAACATAAATCGGAAGACACCACTGTTGACTTTCCGCTACGAGTAAGATTTTCCAAGTAGTCTCGTTAAATATTCAGTACACATCTCCTTTCTTCGGTTTGGTCCTTTTGGTGCGTTTCCATTATTCGAATTCTTGCGTTTTTGATGCAAACCCAAGAACGCGTGTGCCCTCGCCTCCCCATCGGAACCGTACACATACGCCGTCTCCATCAGCGACAACGAGATACCGAGAGCTGGGGAAAATCCGACCGAGTCATTCTATTCGGAGGGCTCCTCGATAGCGCAGTGGAGTGTGAATCCATACGGATCTAGAAAGATAGCGTCGGTTTCGGCTCTGGAATTCGGGAAGACGTTGGGATCATCGGTACCTCAAAGTCCGATCATCAGACTAACAAACTAGTTAGTTGCTAACTCCGAAGATCGAGGTGGGAACGTCGGAGGGGGAGAAAGGAATTTACGCCCTCAGACGATCATTTCCCGAAATTTCAACGACAGTTTCTATTTCCCAATTGGCCACCTCCAGAATTTAATGATGGCAACTGGTAGGTAACAGGAAGGTTTGACATCCGACAAGTGACTATGTTGTGTCGTATCGTAAAGCTGTAGACTTAGGACACTACTGCAGTGGTATCGATGATGTATATAAGCCCCTTAAGAGCTTCAAGTCCACGACGGCGCACTAAGATAGGACAACTCAACCATCAATTCTGTTTGTGATTGAAAATGACACACCCACCCCGGTTCGATGTGCCCGGCGGCGAGACAGCCAAAGTAAGCATCATTGACTCTACAATGCGCTTATCTGGCCTGCCGGTGAGTTCGCTCCTGGAGCCACCGCTGGAAGGATTCGATATATTGCCTCCTATTACAACATGGTCGTTCCTGGTTGAGAGTTCGACGGGAAAGAAGGCGCTCTTCGATCTGGGTGCCCCCAAAGATCCACTGAACAATTACTCTCCAAGTGTGTGTTGAAATGCTAACCGAGTCTGGCTGTGACATTTATGTGCAAGCCAACGTCGCGGATATACTTGAAGAAAACGGGGTGCAACCTGCTGAAATTAATAGCATAATTTGGAGGTGTGTTATCATCGGATATTACCCGAGCTGGGACGCTGATACTTTACAACAGTCATCACCATTTCGACCACATTGGAGATGTCTCAACTTTTCCTGCTTCAACTGAACTTATCGTTGGTCCGGGATTCAAAGACGCGTTCTGTCCAGGATATCCAGCCAACCCGACCTCTCCGATACGCGAAGTCGATTTGCGGTAAGTGTACGAAACTTTCAGCAGTCCGCCGGTGTCGACTGATGAATGTCTGGCACAGAGGTCGCAGTCTAAGAGAAATCAATTTTGAAAGCGATTTGGTTCTTGGGCCATTCAAAGCATTCGACTTTTTCGGAGATGGTTCATTCTACCTCCTCAACACTCCAGGCCATGCTATCGGCCACTTATCAGGACTAGCCAGAACAACAACTGGCCCTGATACTTTTATTGTCATGGGCGGGGACTTGTGTCATCATGGTGGAGAGCTACGTCCATCTCAGTACTTTCCGCTCCCACCGAGTCTATCTAATCACCTTTCACTATCTGACTCACTTCGATCACGTTTATCAAGCTGCCCTGGAAGTAAGGTGCTCAATGATCTCAATGTGAAACGCGGACGTACGGCTAGCGAGCCGTTTTTCGACCCGGTCCTTGTGTTCAATAAAGAGCAGGCTATCAAGACCATTCATGAAGCACAACGGGCAGAGGCGCAAGATAACATTTTCTGCTTATTTGCACACGACATGTCTATATTGGGTGTTGTCGACATGTTTCCTGAAACTGCTAATAATTGGAAAGCCAAAGGATGGAAGGAGAAGACTTTCTGGAAGTTTCTGAATGAGTTAGAAGTAGCCGTTACTGCAAATGTAAATGACTCGGTTGGACTTTAAAATGACGCAGCTCGAACATGATGGGGGGCGATTAGTGGTCTCAGAATAGAATAAGACACACGGCGCACTAGACACGATAATGTAATACAATATTTTTAAAGTCCTTCCTCATCACAACGTCTCTTACAGCCGCGGTTATTGATTCACGCCTTACTTGCATACCATTGGTCACAATGTTTGTGTATGTTACAGCGAAGCTCATTTGTTCCCAGCTCACGAAATGGAGTAATTTGTTCACTGGCATGTACACAACTAACTAATCACCTTTGGCTTACGAGTTGTTTGGAGCAAGGGTCAGGGCTATTTGTATACAACTAGACGGTGGCAATATTCACTAGACTAAAGGCAACATCGCGTTGTCTAGATGGTTGATAGATTGAACATGGCGCGTATGAACTCAACTCCATTAGACAACAAGCGTTCGTTTGATCATAGCTATCTATCCGTCTGTACAATATATGACATGCGTGATCAATCCGCTTCGACCGTTCTACTGTCATGACATCCCTTAAAACTGTGCCTTGCGCCTCAGTTCAAGTAACTTGACTGCGGAATCAATAATAGATTCATCGAATGGGCGGTACTCGGCACCCAAAATGCGAATCGACTTAGAATTATCCAGTTCATAAACGTTGGGCCCTGGATAGTTATGCCCGGGATGTCCGAGCGGTATCTTCTTCTTCTCAGCGTCGGAGATACGTGAAGATGCCCGGAGTACATCGGCTGTTTGTTGATAGCTGTATCGCCCAGCAGTGATCAAAAATCTCTCGTTTCCAGCCTCGGGAACTTCAAGAGCGCGGATGTGGGCTTTTGCAAGATCCCGAACATCGACGAAGCCCCAGAAGTCTGTGTCTGGAACGTCTTGGAGCTCTCCAGAGAGGAAGCGATTAATGTCCCACGCGGCAATGTTCAACGCCGAGAAAGTCAGGGGGTGAGCGGCAGGGCCAAACACCATCGGGGGGCAGAGAACAGTCATGTCAAAATGCAGCTTCCGATCCTGAACGAATTTCCAGGCAGCCTTCTCGGCCAAGGCCTTGGATGCTACATAGGCGGTCCCGGCGTCGGCGGTTTTGGCAGATTCATAGGTGATTGGGTTCCAGTCCGCCTCAGTATAAGTGTGGCCTGGCCATAACCCCTTTGTAAGGTCGACCATCGCAGCAAAAGATGATGTAATGACGACTCGTTTAACATCTGCGCCATATGTGGAAACAGACTCCAACAGGCCTTGGGTCATCTTAATTGCCGGTAGTAGCATCTCAGTCTCATTGTCCTTGACACTGAGCGTAAAAGGACTCGCGGTATGAAGAACCTTTGATACAGAACAGTTGTTAGTGACCACTCTCAAAGTTGGCTGCACTGAGATAGGGCGATGAAGTGTATCGTTGACTACCTGAGTAAGTGCCCTGTGGTTGAGTCTACATACCGCATCGACGCCTTTGACAGCTTCGTCAAAAGCACCCGTGATAGTCATGTTGGGAACGATAACTACGGAGAGGGATCCCGAATTTTCAGGGAATGTCTTGAGAATAGCATCGGCCGATGCTTGGGACCTAACGACTCCTCGTACATGGTACCCGCCTTGCAGAAGAGTTTGCAAAATGTGAGTGGCAATGAAACCATTGGCACCAGTGACAAGGACGAGTTTTCCAGGCGCGGTCATGTTGAACTGTTTATGAGGTATGATTTAGAGTGGAACGTGGTGTACGTTGGTTGAGAGACAGGCAAAATGTGGTCGAGTAACAACAAGCAACTGAACGAAAAAAGTCCCCTTACACCTTTTAAGTGAGGTGCCTGTCGAGACAAAAGCGGTAGTGAACTTCGTCGTGTTGTTTCACTGAGCTGCGAGCAATGCCAGCACGGCCAAGTTGTGCGCAGCCGCACACTCCGTTGGCGCTGAAGTCACTGATATTTCGGAGATGTGCTATAGTGACGCAATAAGTCCGATCCTTACAGAAGATGCAGAACTCAAATGTGCTGATCCACCTTGATCTGCAGCCAAAACTGTTATCAAGACAAAACTGGCCATCGGGAATCCAGCGATGGTTTACATCAGTGTCCGAAAATAGTGGGTCTGTGACTCCGAAAATAGTGGGGTTAAACCCGAAACCTAATTCAGCTCTCAAGATGCATCACGAAGCTAGCGGTGTTTGTTTGTTGTGTTGAAATGTCGGGCTCTAGCGTCTGCCATTGCTATTGAGTACGAAGCTGTGTTAGTCCTCTTTCAAAAGCAATATTTTGTTAGAATACAGGCTGCTGGCCCCAAGACGCAGATGTATAAATATTGTTCTCATCACCACCTCTTACATCCGATTCTAATCCACTCCCATCAAACATCTACCTCCACTCTATAAGCACTTAAGATCAATCTATTTTCACTCCGCACAATGGTCTCCCACGGTCGTTACACTACCGAGAAGGTGACCTATCCATCTCACGGAGAGACCATCACCGGCATCCTATATAAGCCTAAGGACATCGCCAATCCGCCTGGTATCGTCGTTCTCGGTCCATATTCGTTTGTCAAGGAGCAAGCCCCATTGCAGTATGCTACACGACTTGCCGACGAAGGCTATGCCGCTTTAATCTTCGACCCACGAACGGTCGGAGAAAGTACCGGTCAGCCGCGGCGCCTGGAAAACCCCAAGATGAAGAACGAAGACGTTGTCTCCAGCCTTGACTACCTCGCCGGCAGAGGCGACGTGGATGCCAAGAAATTATTCCTCGTCGGTGTCTGCCAGGGTGGTCCTGAATGTCTGGATGTTGCCTCGTATGACGATCGAGTTGTCGCTGTCGCTTCCGTGACGGGGTATTTTCGCGATCATGAGACAGACGTCTATATGATCTGCGCTGGCTGTGTCAACATCGAGCCTGGTATGGACGTGGGATCAATGAAAATGCCTTCACCCGAGCAAGGGGAAGCACTGTATCAGGCACGTATCGCGAGAGCCAAAAAGGCCAAAGAACTGTACGAAAAGACGGGGGAAGTCACCTACCAGCCTCTTGTCGACCCCAAAGCCGCAGACCCAGACGTCGGTTCACTCGCTGGTCTTCCGGGGCCTGTCCCGTGGGCGTGGTACGGCCCTTGGACTCTGAAGGGGTTTGAGAACCGATACGCAGTCATGAGTGATCTAGATCACTTTGGCTATTCGACTGTCTCTGGGGTGGCAAAGCTCACCAAACCGGCTCTGGTGATTCATGGAGACAACTGCATGAACGCGCCTGCAGCGAAGAGACATTTTGAGTCAATCCCGACGAAGAACAAGAAATTGATTTGGGATAATGATGCCTCGCATTTCCAGCATTACGACCAGCCGGATATTGTAGATGGCAATGTTGGTGAGATTGCGGCTTGGTTTGGGCAGGTCAAGGCATAGATTGAAGACGGAGCAGCAAATTAGCTAGCAAACTCGTATCAGGGGCGGTAGGAATATATTGTAGGGATTTCTAGGGAACATCATCAGATTTGATTATTGAATAACCTGCTAGCCGATTATCGCTTTCCGTCCCTACTGATTGGTTCCTTTTTTCACTCGGAGGTGGATTCACCGACGGGTCGAGGCAGTCCACGGCTTTTCCGTGGATGTGGTTCATACTCTCATTTGGTTAATGCTCCTCTAGCCAGAACAAGGATCTAAGTGACAGGTGTACAAATGAGATCTCCCAAGATCTTCAGCCATGGATTGTAATGATGAATCTGCGTGTCTTACGAGTTTATAGAACTATATACATGGTGCTGCTCTTCCCGGTAAGGGGACAAGAAGCTGGTGACACCTCGACATCCAGGCATATCCTCAACACAACGGGACTACTTACGGGGTCAAGCAGGGGTATATAATATCCATGGTCGATCTGATATATTTCATTAAGTTGCTCCGAGCTGACAAATCGCGGAGGAAATGAAATCACCGCAATTTCCATGTGGGATAGTTGCCAATGTGCTTCCGGGATTCCGGAAACACCAACATATAACTACCAACCGTTTGAAATCATACAAGTTGGTAGTATGGAAAATGTCACTTGTATTTCTAAACTCACCTATCAAACATGTCTCTCCCAATCAATAGGGGTATCTTCGTTGGAGATAATGAAGAGGTTTCGATCCGAGATCTTGGAGACGCCTACAGGCCTGTTGGAAGTCAAGCTCTTGTAAAAGTGAAATACTCGGCTATCAATCCAGAAGATCTCAAACATTCCTACGTTGGTTTGAGCGGCTCTATCACTGGTTATGACTGGGTTGGCACTGTGGTAGAGATTGGGAACTCTTCCTCCTTCACAGTTGGGCAACAATTGTTTGGGGGAGTTATTCCTGCAAGCCAGCGACCATTGCATACTGGTGCACATCAGAATTATCTGATCATTGATGGGTGAGCAACCTTGAAGCCGGAATCTATGCCGCATATGCTGCTGCGACTAACATATACAGATCTAAGGCCGCATGGCCCGTTCCCAAAGGAATGAGTGAAGAAGTTGCCGCAACTCTCCCCGTCGCTGTAGAGAGTGCTGCTGATTTAATCTTCAACGTCAATGGCTTTGGTCTTCCCGCGGCCGGTATTGACGGCCAAGATGCATCTGGCGTCCCGATCCTCATTTGGGGAGGTGCCTCAGGTGTTGGAGCTGCGGCGATCCAAGTTGCAAAGGCCGCAGGATTTGAACCCATTTTTGTCACTGCGTCTCCCAAGAACCACGAACGGCTGTTGAGAGCCGGGGCTTCAGGTGCCTTCGACTATAATAGCCCTACAGTCGTCGAAGAGATCCGAAAGGCTGTGGCGGAAAGTGGCAAGAAGCTTACTGTTGCGATTGAGACTATTTGCAATGGAACAACAATACTTGGGAAGCCCCTTGAGAAAAACAATACCCCCGATCTCGCGAAAGCTTGTATGTCCAATAATGTCCAAGCAGAGGATATGCGGCTCGCTTCTGTCCTTCCAGTTCCACATGACACAGACTGGAAAGAAGGCTATGCCCTGCGTCCCTCCGGGAATATCAATTGGCTTGGCTCTGCTCAGGATCCTGTGTTCCCAGTCAGGACCAAGAAGTTTATGGACTGGTTTGTCGTCAATCATGAGCTGGTTTGGAAGCCCATACTCCGGACTCCTATTGTTGAAGGAGCCGAGAAGGCTATTGAAGAGATTAGACGTGTAGCTCGAGGGGGCGCATCGATGGAAAAGGTTCTGATTGCGCGTCCTCTATGAATAGACTCATACTCTAGGCGATTTCTTTACGAGTTTAATAAGGAATACGACCGTTTTGCTCTCTTTCCTTGGGAAGTCTCTCATTGAGGTTGGAAAATCGTTTATCATGGTTTTGAGATGCCAGATATCAGAAAAGCAAATCATTGACGGGCTCATCCAATGTTGCCCCTATTCTATATTTAATGTGCCACGAGCTATCTCTCATAGGAAGAAAGTTGCTGGTATTGGTATTCAATGAGACCACATATATGAATATTATTCTTTGCACTCTGTTTAAAACTTATGCCTAAGAAATCAACACATGATCTCGCTCTTGGAGGCTAATACAGGCTTCTCTTAAATGAAAGACCGATAAACTCTCAGTGCGTAAGTGATACACAAGTAAATGTGATTGCTGTCCTTTGACTCTACCCAGTTTTTGTAGCCTCATCCTTAGACTTATCTTTTGGCTCGTTGACTTGAATATAGCCCTCTTCTAGTTCCTCTGCTGAAAACTTGGCTCTCTGCAATTTGAAAATGTAATAACATTGTATGAAATTAAAGAGACTAGCGACAAGTCAGTCAGTGTTCTGCCTTTAAGCTAAGATACTGGCCTGGCCAGACGGTAAATACTCACATTGCACAGACACCCATGCAACCACAAGCAATCGCGATGTTCTCAAGAATTGTGATTGTGCTCCCGGCGATATCTTTGAGGCCACCCCATAGACTACGCCTATTGATGATCTCGTACTTTCCATCCGATTCACGAAATGCAAACATAACAATGAGCGCGGAAAACCAGAGTGGGGTCGAAATCGCTATGAGAATATAATACCACCTGGGAGGCAGAGGACTATTACGCGCTCGGGGGCCTATCCAAGGGCCGAAGATGAGTAGGATGTGAAGACCGCCCTATGAAAAGAATATGAGCTACAGCGTGATCAAGGTGGCGGTGACGGATCAGACTAACCACAGCTATATTGTACGCAGCAGCGATGAACATCTTTTCTCCTGGTTTCTTCGAGAGGATGCCTGCCGCCAAGCCCAAGTTGATCACGGAAACGATCCATCTCCCAACAGCCGAGTTGAAGAGCTTATCGTAAATAGATTTGACTGGGCCGTCGATGGGCTTCTCCTCGGTTGGCGTGACGGCCACTTGCGGTTGTGGAGGCTGCATAGTGTCGAGTCTGTTGTGAGCTCAGATGGCGCATCTGGAGGTTGGGGTGTGAACAGCGTAAGTTAAAAATGCGAAATGGGGGGCGTAAGCCTGCTTAGATTGCATTTCAACACAGCTTCAGCCTCAGCACGCGTATTTCGTATCATGAGTCACGCCAAATCCTGATGAAACCCTGGTTGACAAGGATCAGCCCCCCAAGCAGCCGAGATATCACATGGCACACCCGAGCTCTTTCGTGCAAGCTAGAAACCTCGTTCTAAACAAGAACAGTAAATTAATAAATTATTCTATATTATTTAGCTTAATATTATATTAATAACTGAGTTTATCATTATGATATTGTGTCGAAATACGAGGCTGTGGGGAGGCTTTGGTGCGTTATATTTCATTTCAGCTACTTGCCCCCTACTAAGTCTCGATATCCAGTAGCAAATTAACAATAAGCCTATGAGTAACTTCAAAAAAGAGGACAATGTTACAAATATAAGAAATTTACCACTATTCATTATTTAAATTTAGTGAAATTAGCAACGTATAATCAATGATCTACGTATCGAATAATAACCAGAAAAACGTTCAAGAGAGGCATGGGTAAATATTAACAACTAAGGCTCATCCCTCTATTCACGACTCCTCACTGTTTGATTTACTTGAGTTGATCATTCAATTCTGTTGGGAATTGAGCCAGAACATGTATATTATACGTGCACGTTAGGCTGTTGCTCAGCGAGGAGCAAACAAACATGTGGGCTATGATTCTGCTCAACATAACTGGCCGCATTACACCTTCGACACGGGCGATAGGAGGCATTGGGTCGCTTGAATGGCCTGCCTTTGGCTCTGGTTCTCTTTGGGGGCTTCTCGCAGTTCAGTTCTATGGCCCCTCTGCGGGAGGTAGGACTGGTCCATGTTTGTAACATTACTTTGCCTTTTTTTGCTTTGGCGTTGAAAGATCCTTGATCAGTAAATGGAGAAGTTTCATGCTCAAGTACATCCTTCAAGGTAGAGCGCATCGCCAACCTTGCTAAGACTTGACTTACCTAGCCAGATTTCTCTTGTTCTACCTCTAGTTAGTGTTCTACTTGTAGATCAATGTCAGTATGAGACTCTCGGCAGATCTAGCCTTTCCAATGGCTCAGATATAAAGCATTCTCAGAGCAGTAGACGATTATAGGCATATTTCTTTCCGTTACAGAGAGCCCGCTGAAGCGTTGATCGATTTCTAGACAACCGCTATACTTGTTTCGTATTCCAGCGATGTATAATAGCGTGTTCAGTGAGAGATGAGTAAACAGTTAATTGTGGTGTTTTCTGGTCTAGGTCGCTTGTGGCCTTTGGGGACGTAGGATTGTAGATATACAATATGCAGGTCTTTGTTCCAGAGGTGACAATGCAACATGGCACAGCACCAATCCCAAAATGCAATCTCCAACGGGATGCGGAAGGCTGGGGACAGGGCTATCCATCACCCGTATTGAATTCTCAAATTCCCTGAAAAGAGCAAGGTTACCCGGTCCGACAGACTCACAGACAGAAATGATGATTCATGCAATGTCACGGAGTCCTCGGTCTCGACGGGATCAGTCCATGCCAGCCGGAAAGACCTATTCCCCTCCCGTTCGCCATTCAATAAATCTCAAACTGTTTTTCTTCACGTCTTAGCACCTTCCGGGGGAGCGCGGTGTCGGAAGATGGTGGAGAGGCAGGATGGTGCACGATCCGTCGGCCACGTATCGGCCGGTGACTTGGCTCGTGGCCGAAGCGGCAGCCAGATGCTCCCATCCGATTTGGCAGCTCCCTTTCATGAAATTGAGGTGGGGTCCCCGCCTGGAATCTGTGCGTGAGGCGGATGAGATGGGGGATTCGGTGGTAACGATACCCGGTGTAGGTTGATGCCATTTAGACAGATATACAAGTGGCTGCTCTGGGTGTCGTGTCTCGTCCTTCTCGTTCAACAATCCATAGCCCAAGTATTCGATTGCAATCCCTCTCCTCCTTTCGAATTTGACAGCCACTTCTTTAAGTGACGACGTATCTACTTCAACATTGAATATGGCCGCTGCCGCAACGGCTACCGCCCGAACAAATGGGATCACCTCACACCTAAACAGAATCGCCTCCCACATGAACGGGATCGCCTCCCATACAAATGGGACCACTGCCCACACAAACGGGATCGTGGTAGCTGCCCCTCCGAAGCCGAGAGTTGTTGAGAACTTCAGGCCATTGCGTGTCATTATCATTGGTGCTGGCTTTTCTGGCATCTACTGCGGCGTACGCATCCCGGAAAAGCTACGCAACATTGACTTGACTATATACGAGAAGAACGCCGGTATAGGAGGTACTTGGTACGAAAACCGTTATCCAGGGTGTGCCTGTGATATTCCATGTGAGTCTGAATCACTTACCATAGATTTTTTTTGCGCCTGGCTGATCGCTTCTGCAAGCTCATTCATACCAATACACATTTGCACCCAACCCTAACTGGAGTGACTGGTATGCTCCGGCAGCAGAGATTCGACAGTATCTCGAGTCCATTGCGAAACGATACTCTGTAGAAAGGTTTATAAAAACCTCACACAAAGTAACAGGTGCGACTTGGGACTCTCAGGCTTCAAAATGGTGAGCTTCCAAGATTCAATATTTCTCAGGACTACCACTTACACTTTATGTCACACTTCAGGCATGTGACAGTCAACAATCTTACAACTGGGGAGATTATTCATGATACAGCGGACATTGTCATCAGTGCGAGAGGTTCGCTGAATGAGATGGCATGGCCAAATATCCCGGGAGTGCGTGAGATGAAGATCCCAGTCATGCACTCTGCAGCATGGGATGATAGGTAAGGCTCCCCGTATCTGCCGCTAAAGATGAGTGGTTCTTGAATCAATAAACTAACAAAACACATTCAGCATTGATTTCGAAAACAAGAAGATTGGCGTGATTGGCGGCGGAAGTAGCGCAATTCAAATCATCCCCTTTTTACAACGCCTATCTGGTGTGAAGCTCGACTGCTTTATCAGAAGCAAGACCTGGATCTCCAAACCTTTGGGAGAATCTGCCATGGCCCTTCTCGGAACCCAGAGCACTAAGTGTAAGTAATTGTCCAGAAGATGTCGAACCAGACACTGATTTCCTTTTGGGCAGTCACCCAAGAGGAAAAGGATCGGTTTGCCAACAATCCAGAATATTATCTGAAATACCGAACAACAATTGAGCGAGACGGAAATTCCATTCACAGCGTCACGATGAAGGACTCGCCAATGCAGGGCGATGTTCGAGATGCATTTACGCAACTCATGAAGGAGAGATTGGTCAAAAAGCCTGAGATTTTTGAGACTCTTCTTCCCAGCTTTGGCGTCACCTGCAGAAGACTCACGCCCGGTCTTGGATACCTTGAAGCCCTAGTTCAGGACAATGTCGACTTTATAAACACGCCCATCGAGAGGGCGACCTCAACAGGGTTGGTGCTCAAGAATGGAGAGACGAGAGAATTGGACATTCTAGTTTGTGCCACGGGTTTCCAGACTTCTGCGCCGCCTCCATTTACCGTCACCGGGAGGAACAACACCACGATGCAGGAAAAGTTCGAGCCGTTCCCCGAGACTTACCTCTCTCTCGCCACGGATGGGTTCCCCAACTACTTCATGATGATGGGCCCTAATGCTGCTATTGGGACAGGGCCACTCACAACCATGATTGAGAAGACCGGAGACTACATCGTCAAGTGTATCCGCAAACTCCAAAAGGAGAACATCTCGAGCATGGAACCCAAAGCCGCCCGGGTGAAAGACTTCTCTCAGATTATTGAGAAGTACTTCCACAAGACCGTCTACCTTGATGAGTGCAATAGCTGGTACAAGAAGAAAACCAGCAAGGGTGATCGGATCATTGGTATTTGGCCGGGTAGTGCACTGCATGCAATGGAGACTCTCCGCTCCCCCCGCTGGGAAGATTTCGACTACGCGTTCGACGAGGATAAGGATGGGGGGAGCGGTAACCGGTTGGCTTGGTTGGGCGACGGCTGGTCTGCTCCACAGGTGGACGAGGATGCGGGAGATTTGGCATATTTCATACAGCCGGGCTTGCTGGATATTCCCACCGAGCCTCTTCCTGAAAACAACCCAACCTTCAGAAAGCTGGCGTTTTCTCACTAAGTCAGAATTAAGTAGATTTGCTGAAAGATATTGAGTTACAGAAGGACAAATTGGGTTCTAAAACTAGAATGGTCGAGACTGAGTACGGGATTGACCTTACCAACATCCGCATTTTACTTCTACTTCCTCCTCAAGCATGGTTTGCAAATCCACCACAAACGACGATGCTTCAATGACTTCACTATGAGCATAATAATCCGCGGCGAGCTCCCGACTGATTTAATGAGGATTATCAAATGGCCCAGATGTAGGCTCTAACTTGAAGTGGTATTGACGTTGTAAACTACCCAAGGCCCATGGCAAAACTTGATCAACGCTGCTGAATTCGGCAACTACAAGATCTGTGGATCTACAGATCTACCCTAGCATCTTCCCCGGCTTGTGTCCTTCTAATCAGCTCCCGGATCAGATCCCGCTCGATCGGGCGTGGGTTGTAGTAAGGGTTGCTGACAGCAATGTCAGCAGCCTTGTCAACATCCTCCGCCTTGAAACCAAAGTGATTCAAACCCCGCTGCACTTTGAGACGCGTGAGGAGCACGTTAAGCCCATGGATCGCATCCCCATTGCTCTCCGGAAGCACCTCGGCGAGCTTCTCCATCACTTCCGGGATACGCGGTGCATTGTATGCAAGAGCATGGGGGAGCACAATCGTGTGCGTCTCTGCGTGGGGCAATCCAAAGCTCCCGCCAAGAGTATGGCAGAGTTTGTGGTGAATTGACATGCCGACTGAACCGAGACATAAACCGCAGAGCCAGGCTCCGTACTGAGCTGAAGTACGCGCAGCTGTGTCTGATGGAGAGTCCACGATGATAGGGAGAGCCCCGGCGAGGGCCTTGACTC